GCAGATTGGGGACTGGTCTAGATGGCTATCTACTCTCTTTGGAATTGAGGAAAATGATTCCTCAGGTGATAATGAAGACAAGGCACCAGGTCCCGCCAAGCCTTTCCGTCTGCTCAATGCTCTAAGTGATCTAATGATGCTTCCCTTTGAAATGCTCGCCGATCCTCAAACTAGGAAAGAGGTGAGTCTGTTGGCATTACATCGTTTGATGCATTTCATCATGCTGTATGCTAAATTTCTTCTTATTATGCTATTTCAAGGTTTGTCCTATACTTGGTCCAACTTTGATCAGTAGGGTGCTCAATGGTTTTGTTCCAGATGAATTCTGTCCAATCCCAGTTCCCCCAGAGGTCCTCAGGGCACTGGATTCTGAGGTTGGTAGTTTGTTCAAATTTGTTTAGTTGCTGTTTGTTTGAAATTTTGGAGTTTATGAGCTTGCAAACTTAGTTTCTGAGTTTGCAAATAGTGTTTTTTTGAACTTAATCTTGAAAAACATTAGATTTCCAAATCTTGAAAGTGTTGCTGTTCTGTAACATTTGAAAGACTTGAGTTGGAAATTTTCAAAAAATCTACTTTTTCTTTCAAGATTTAGCTCAAACAAATACTTCAAGCTATGCAAACTCAAAAACATCAAACAAACGGCACCTTGACCGTATGCTTCATGCAATTTCATTGATGCTTGTGGTTGAAACTTTTCAAACTTCCATTTCATTAAAAGATCAGTTTTGTCATGAACGCGTCATTTCTTAATCTAGGATGCTGAGGATACTCCTGAAGAATCTATCTCCACTGTCCCGTTCACTGCATCGCCTACTACATATTTACCTCCTTCAGTAAGGTCCATTAAAACCTTTCTGGGAGAGACTGGAAACCAATCTTTACAAAGAAGCAGTTCATCAGTACTGAAGAAATCATACACCAGTGATGATGAGCTTGATGAATTGGACTCGCCCTTGAGTTCAATTGTAGCTGATAGGCTCCGTGGTTCTCCTAATCTAGCAAAGATCAACTTGATCGCCAAGGGGAAGGGTGATCGGAAAGTCGTTAGATATCAGCTGCTCCGACAAGTCTGGAGAGCTGAAGAACAGTAAAGAACGAACCACGGTGCTGTAAATATGTAAAGCCAGGTCTAAAGTTTTTTGTTTATTTTCTTTCTTCAGTTGCTAAATGCCCATATACATATATAGATGAACTCCAAGACTATTTCGACATGAAATTCGATGGTCGGGGTCTCATATTTCCAATAAAATATACTTGTTGAAGCTCTCCGAGTCTAGTAAAAACCTTGATTTGAGTTGTTGGTTTCACAAGACTAGGGGGCAAGCCCTGAGCCTATTGATTCAATTCCTAGTGAGTTCTGTTTCGCCAAACTATGATCAAGAGTTTTGCCTTTTGAATAGTCAATTGTGTAGGGTGACAGGGCTAGTGATTTAAGAGATTGTTATTCCCTCTGTTCTGTTCCAATTTATGCGACTTACTTGCCTTTTTAGTCAGTTCCAAAAAGATTGACACATTTTTATATTAAGTAACAATTTAACTATAAAATGTCTATTTTACTCTTAATGAAATGATTTATAGCCACATAAATTTCTATCATTCATTTTGAACCACAAGTTTTAAAAGTATTTCTTTCTTTTTTAAACGTTGTGTCGAGTCAAACTACCTCACATAAAATGGGACGGAGGGAGTATCATTTATCAAGCCAAGCAGATGAAGTTTTTAAATTATTTTCGGGTATTGGATTAGTAAGAAGAAAATGTATTGCCCAACAAATTTAGATATTATTGGGAAAATACTAGAACACCATATTTGAAAAATACTATAATAGGGAGTAGGGTCTCGAGTTGAGGTCTTGGGTCGAGATTTTGGTCGTATTGGGAGTGGGGTCTCGAGTCAGGGTCGGAACTTGGATTGGGAGTCAAGTAGTTGAGTCTCGGGTTGGGGGTTAGGAGTTGGGGTTGAAAGTTGGGTCTTGGGTTTGGATTGGGTTCAAGAGTCAGGTCCTAACTTCAACCCTAACCTCTAACCCAAATTGGGACCCCAACCCATGACCCTGACCCTTAATTTGGTTCGAGATCTGACCTCGCCCCAACAGTATCGGGAGTTGGGGTTGGGTGGTGAGGTTGAAAGATAGTTTTGGAAAAAATTGTTTTTATCTTATGTAGGGAAGTCATTTTATTAAGAGTGTTTAGAAATCCACCAAATAATTAGAATTGGTGTATTTATTAGTAATTACGACGTCATGTTTGTATGTTATAATGTAATTATTGTGCACTCACAAATGTACTATTTGGTTGCACATATGTAATTACACAGTAAGATTAACAACAACATATCAAGTGTAATCCTACAAGTGGGGTTTGAGAAGAGTAGAGTATGCACAGACCTTACCATTGCTCCATGGACGTAAAAAGATTGTTTTTTAAACTCCTAGCTCAAATGTAGCAAATTCAAGTACAAAGAAGAAAAAACAGTGAAGCAATTAAATGGGAGCAGTGGAACACCTACAAGAAAGGAAACAAGAACAACAACAAAATAATGTGATAATCAAAATAAAAAAAAATAACATATGATAATAGATAGGGGTGTAAAACCGAACCAAAAATTGAACCCAACCGCAAATCGAGTCAAATCAAGAAAAAAAATCGACTAATAGTTTGGTTTGGTATTGGAAAAAAAAATCTGACAATACTTGGGTTGGTTTGGTTTTAACTAAAATGAGTCAACCCGATACCAAACCAACCCGACAATATATATATATATATATAATTTTTAAAATTTATTTTATACATAAAGTATTTACTTTGATATAATTTCTAAATATTTCTTATACTTTTTCATATTTTTTATCTTTTAACATATTATTTCAAGTTTATGAGACTTAGGGCACGTTGGACCATGCAATATGAAATCATGAGATGAAGTTGAAGTTTTGTTTGGACATGCGATATCAACTTTTTATGTTGTATGTTTTCTCATAAACATGAAAAAAAAAAAAAAAAACATAAGTTGTAAAATTATTAAAATTGCGTCTCAATTCTTTATACAATCTTACCAAATAAGCACACGTTTATAAAGTCACATAACACACTATCACAAAGATATTCTTAAAGGATACAATATTTATTGATCGAACTTTAATTCAAAAAAAATAAAATTAAATATTATTTGTGGTGTACTAGTCTTAATATAATCCTTCCACATAGTACAGACAATTTTTTCACGTTGAACTTGTATTTCTCGTTGATATGCATAAGAAGACAAATCAATATTGATACTATGAGTTATTTATCGGTCAATTTGGTTGATAAATATATTTGATAAAAAATAATGAATTTCGTGAATATAAATGGTAAAATAGAAATTGATTTGAAGTATAATAAATTCTAAGTTAGTGAGAATAATCATTATATGAGATATAAATGTTTTAAAAAGTAATGATATGAATTATAAATTTTATTTACATATAAAATAAATTGTTAGTAGATATAAATGTGGGGATATTTTTATAAAATATAAACTTGTGGATCAATTTTTGTATGTGAAAAGTCTCAAATCATGATTTGAAATCCCCAAATCATAATTTTTAGAGAATTTGTGTCGAACTTTGGGTTTTTTAAATACTAAGTCAAACCATGTATGTCAGATTTTTAAATAATAAACCAAATCAAACTAATAAAGCTCAAGTTTTTCAACCTCGAGTTTTTTTTTTGGGTTTTTCAGAGGTTTTCCGATAAAGTAAGCACACAAAAATATAATTAATTTGTGCTCCAAGTATTTCTTTAGTCCTACCAAATACAACTATCTAAGGTGTTTCTTTCCAAAATAACACAAAATATGAGATGAGTGATAAGACAAAAATATTTAACAAAAAATAATAATAAAATCACAAAAAATAAATATTACAAATTTATAAGTCACAATGAAAATGATCATAATTTAAAAGTACTAAATCATGATAAAATAAGTCTAATAAGTATTAATTACATGATTAAACAATAAAGAAAAATTAAAATTAGGTTATGTATTTTAAATATCTAAACCAATGTAAAACTAAAGAGCAAATATTCAATATTATTGTCATTCTTAGAACTGAATTAATTATTTTTTTGTTAGCATTAGTATTGATTTTGATTTTGATTTGAGTTTTACTAGAGTTACTAATATCCATGGACTATAACATTTATTGGATCATTCAAAATTCTTGAAATAATATGTTAAAAGATAAAAAGTATGAAAAAGTATAAGAAATATTTTAAAATTATATCAAAGTAAATATTTTCATGTATAAAATTAATTTTAAACATTATATATATATAATATTAGGTTGTTTTGGTCTCGGTTGACTTTTTTTAGTTAAAACCAAATCAAGTTATATTAGACTTAACTTATTTTAGACCACAAGTTTCAAATGACTCTTTTTTTCCTTAAATTTTATATCAAATCAAACTACATCACATAAATTGAAATTGAGTGATTAACTAAGGGGTAAAATAGGGGGGGGGGGGGGGGGGGGGGGGGGGGGGGGGGGGGGGGGGGGGGGGGGGGGGGGGGGGGGGGGGGGGGGGGGGGGGGGGGGGGGGGGGGGGGGGGGGGGGGGGGGGGGGGGGGGGGGGGGGGGGGGGGGGGGGGGGGGGGGGGGGGGGGGGGGGGGGGGGTGTAAAATATTTATACCATTATCCTTGATTAAAATACAATATCATGACAGAATAAGTCAGCAAATATAGGTCCATGAAATTTTATTTATAAAAATTCCCACTTTTTCCCCTCTACATATTTAACAAGACCCTTTCCAAGAATTGCTTCACAGCCTTTGTCCATTTACAACTCTAACCTTATCATTCTCTAATTGTAAAACAAGCTTTTGGACCAAGTCACTCACTTGCCTCAATCAACAATATTTCCAAAAGCTTCACATGAAAGTTTTCATTTTTTTTAACTACTATAAATGCCACTTCTAGGCAAATAACTTCAACCAATTCAAATACAAATTACTTTGCCTAAAACTCAAAAAAAAAATGTTTTCCCTTTCAAAAATGCCTTCAACAACATCAGTTCTATCAGCATATACAACTTTAACTGCTTCAGCAGTTCTAGTTAGAACTTTAGTCTCTGAAGTTCAAAACATGACAAACCAACTTATACCCAAAAATCTCCAAGACAAAATATTGTCTAAAGTTGGAATCTTTATAGGAAATATTTCTTCCCAAATTACCCTCATCATTGAAGAAAACAACGGGATCACTCCAAATGAAATATTTGAAGCTTCTAAACTATACTTAGGGACTATAGTGTCCTCTTCAGCACAAAGAGTCAAAGTCTCCAAAGCAGAGAAAGAAAAGAAATTTGCAACCAACATTAGCAAAGATGAGAAAATCATTGATATATTTGAAGGAGTTGAACTCATTTGGGAGTTGAAAGTTGTGGAGAGTCAGAAGACAAATTGTGATGATGGCTATTTTTCTTTAGATAAAGTCGAAAAGATATGGTATGAACTCAGTTTTATTAAGAGTTACAAGGAAATGGTGATGAAAACTTATTTGCCATTTGTTCTTGAAAGATCAAAAGCTATAAAAGAGGAAAACAAGGTGATAAAACTTTCTCCACTTGGGAGTTATGGTGGAGAATGTGTGAATCTTGATCATCCATCGACTTTTGATACACTAGCAATGGATCCTGAAGAGAAGAAGAAAGTTATAGATGATTTACAAAGATTTGTTAGGAGAAGAGATTACTATAGAAGAGTTGGCAAGGCATGGAAAAGGGGATATTTGTTGTATGGACCACCAGGAACAGGCAAGTCTAGCTTGATCGCAGCTATGGCTAATTATTTGAAGTTTGATATATATGATTTGGAACTTTCTAGCATGCGTGGTAACACTGATTTCAGAAGAATGTTAGTCTCTAGCAACAACAAATCAATTATCGTTATTGAAGACATTGATTGCACCATTCAACTACACAACCGTGATGATGGTGCACACAATTACAATGATAGTGAAAGTCAGGTAACCTAAGAATATTACACATTCTTTGCTTTGTTTCTTAGTCGTGTTTAAAAAAGAATGACTTAGTTTTCATGGACAGGTTACACTTTCTGGATTGCTAAACTTCATTGATGGACTATGGTCGAGTTGTGGAGATGAAAGAATAATTGTGTTCACTACTAACTTTAAAGAAAGACTAGACCCTGCATTGATAAGGCCAGGAAGAATGGACATGCACATTCACATGTCCTACTGCACTCCAAGTGGATTCAAGATCCTTGCCTCAAACTACCTTGGCCTTGAAAAACACTACAAATTCCGCGAAATAGAAGAGCTTATAACTGAAGTGAATGTGACACCAGCAGAGATTGCAGAAGAGCTAATGAAAAGTGATGAAGCAGACATTGCACTTGATGGACTAATTAAGTTACTTAACAAGAAGAAAGAAGATTGCAAAGAGAAAACCGTTGTAGAAAATGAAGTTGACGAGAAAGTAGACGAAACGAACAAGGAAGAAATAGAAACCAAAGAGATGAAGAAACGTAAGGGGAATTCAAGGAGGGGAGGAAGAAGCAAGCGTAAAATTTACTAAGTTACTACAAATTTACTTGTGCTATGTACTTTTTGTATTCTTCGTTAATGTTTTATAACAATGGATGTCAAACCAACATACAATGTGTTCCACTGAATGTCTGTTACTTCCCACCAGCAAAGGTACATGATAACGATGTGACATAAGAACGTTATATGGTATTCCGGTCTCCTCCATTTTGGATTCGATAAAGAACCATCCAGGAAATAATAGCTAGTATTGCTACATACATCTCAGGAAATAACAGCTTATATTCACATTCAATGGCTGTTCTTTGTTTTTCCCTGTGAAGGATGGAGCTATAGCATTAACTCATGGATAAGCCCTAAAGTGTCCAGACCTGTACATCTCTTCCACAAAAAAAAACTAAACTCACCCATTGGGGATAGGACAGAAGATGAGTTAAATTAGAGATTTACATACTAGTGGTAGGAATGACAAATATTTAACACTGGTATACAGAAAAACTCTTGGTCTTCCACAAGAAATTCCATGCCTTGCCCAATTTTTTCCGCGAGGTTGACTTGCACAATGGCTTTGAATCTTCAGAAGCCATGTCCAATATCTCAGTGTTTTCAGTCCGTGGTTGAGTTTGAACTGGTGAGGGTTCTCTCTGTCTCTGCTCACGAAACAACATCAAAAGCTTCTGAGCTTTCTGCTTTCCTCTCATAGTCCCATTTACTGATACCGACACCAATGAAGGTATCACTCCTTCTTGAAGGACCATTTGGCTGCATTTCTCATTTCCATTGCATAATATCAACATACAAGCTGCAGCTTGTTCCTGTTCTAAAGGCTCCCCAACGTCCAAAACCGTTGCAAGACTACTGATAAGACCAGGAGATGACACAATTTCATCCCTTGCAGATTTACTTAAAGATAGGTTTATAAGAACAGCTATGCATTTTTCTGTCGTATGGTCATCCGTATATGACATAAGAGTTTTCAGTCCGTCCAGAATGCCAGCTGACAGGAGGTGAGGAGTATTTGTTGGATTACTGGAGATATTAAATAGTGCATGAAGGGCATCCAGCTTACATTGAGTATCGGTCTCACGCTGTAGGACTCCGACCAAGAATGGAATGGCTTCACCAGAACCAATGATGGGCTTGGCTTCCTCGAGACATGAAAGATTCAGGTAAAGGGCTGTTGCTGCACTGATGGCACTAGAAGTTGCAACCATTCTTCCTAGCAAAGGAAGAACACCCGCCGCCAGCATCAACTCCTTGTTCCTGAAGTGCAAGTTGGAAAGATGTCAAGTGTCTATATTTCTCATCGAAGCAAAAAAAAAAAATTGAAAGCACATGGAAAAATTTTGAACACCAAGTTAAACATCATATACCAAGATTATTTTAGGCATTAAAAAGTCAGGAAGTACTTCACCTAGGCCAATAAATACTATGATAATTATTATAATGGACATACATCACCTATTTTAATGCTTAAAGAGGGAAATTGCTAAAAGGATATGAAATAAATCATGCTAAGCAGAGCCCATCAAAGTTGTTTGAACTTTGAATTGTGCGATGCCAAGGCAAGAAGTTCATCACAGAAGGCATAGATTATTTTGACAGCTGGACAAAATAAGTATTTTATTTCCTGAGCCAAAGGTCATTAGGAAAGACTGATCTGCAAATCTACAACCATAACAAAACACAAGAGAACACACCTGTTATTATTCACACCAAGGTTGAAGAGGGCCATGGTTCCGATTTCTTGAGCAATCTCATTCCTGGTTTGTACAGCACACTCTAAAAACCCTAGTAGTGCTTCAATAAAGCCATTTGCTCCCATATAAATCCTGATTTCTTCATCATCCTTTAGCAGATGCCTGATCTGTTCTACTACTTTGCACTTTTTCCTGAAATCTTCCCCTTCATTTAAGATGGCTAAGAAGTCATCGTATCTTTCAAGAGAATTGACTTGAAGCTCATCTTCCTGCACAGATTCCTCTGCTTCAGTCCCTTCGGCCTCCTCAATAATACCACTATCTTCCAAAGGAACCACCTTGACACCTTTGAACTTGCAAGAAACAATACTTCCTGTAGATTTGGAATTCGTGGACTCACTTTCAGACAAAGCCAGTCTCCAGTAGTTGAGATCAAGGGACTCAGGTGGACCATCTGGAATCGGAACCCCATACTGTTCGCACCAACTAGCAACCAGACCCTTCACACAATAATTAGGAGTTAAACCAAGATGAGGGAGCTCCTGCTGAGTCTTTGGGCATGTGTTATGCCCATCACTGAACCACTTCTCAATGCAAATCTTTTCATATGATTGCCCAGAAGCAATTATCACAGGGTTATACATTAACTGTAACGAGATTGGACACCTCAGCTCTTCAGGAGGAACAGGCGTCTGGTCTGTCGCTGTCCTCCTAAAGTTGGGTTTAAAATTAAAAGAACTAAGCTTCGAGAGTTGCCGGTCAAAAGCATGAATATTTCCTCCAGCTCCAATACCATACTCAAAGGATCCCTGAACTGTGGGTGAACAAGGTGTCGAACCCTGTGAATCGTTGTCATCTGACAATTCAGATCTAAACAACTTTGAGTATTTTCTAATGAGATGCAAAAGAAAAGCAACAATTGACTCTTTCCGTTTATCCTCTTCTGCTCTGGCTCGTTCAACGAGCTTTTTCAGAGCCCTTCTTTCTCTAAGAGCAGCTCTTGAAGAAGTTATACCGAGTCTTGAGGCAGCTTGGTGAAAAGACTCAAGTTCATTGTTGTCACTACCATTGAATTTTCTTCCCTGCTGAAGCAATGTAATTATCTCATCACCAATTTGCTTCTCCGCCAGATCAAGTGAGAACTCAATCCCTTGAAGTTCATTTAGAACATCAGAGATCTGAAAAAATATAGAGATTACCATCAGAACCAAAATGTGAAACAGCCAAAGAGGTAATGGCCCTTAAGAAATGATTTATGTGCAAAACTCCATTTAGTCAAATTGACCAACGTCACTAACACAGCCCCCTCCCCAAAACAAAATGGGAAAAAAAAAGAATCCACTATCACATTTGCACAAGAGCATAAATTTTACTACAAAAAGAAACAAATTGACTTGGCATACTAAAGAAATAAGAGAATATTACCTGACAGCCAATACTTTGTGGTACTATATCTTCAACACGCTTTAGACTATCTTCAAGAGCACATCTTGCTCTCTCAAACTTTAGAACTATAGAGTCCCCTGTTATAGCCTGAAAACAAAAACATTTCAATAAATATAAATTGTCAGAAAAGGAAACTTTAGTGGACGGAGAATGGAACCGTCAAGAACATTGTAACCATTAAGCGAAATTCGGGAGTGGCTCTTCTTACTACTTCTGTTTGGTAATAAACATACTGCATGAGCAGATAAATTATAGTTATATCTTACGAAATAGCACTTTACATTTTAAATTTTTCAGGTTAATCAAGTATTCCATTTGGAAACTATTGTAAGATATTAACAACAACTACGACACCTCAACCCCAAGCAAGTTGGAAGGTGGTTAGAAAACATAATAAATAGGAAACCTTGTTATGTAGGATCCCGACCCAAGGTAAATCACCAGAGGAATAAGAAGACACAATCATATCCCTCTTAAGAAATTAATACTGCAGTACGGTCAAAGATTGCCAAAAAACATTCTCTCAATATTGACAATCAGAACTAAAAAAGTGCCATCATTACCAGGTAAAGTTTACTGCATTCGGAGCAATGTTGAAGAACATTCTTTGTTTTCTCAAGGGCTATGTGCAAAGCACATAATGCTTGAATACCAGATGTGCTTCTTGGTCTTGCAGCTTCCAGTTCAGGAAATATTCCCAGCACTTTTGCGTATACAGCCGATAAGCTCTTGCACATTCCTCCATGTAACTAAATTAACACAAAACTTATAAATGAACATTGAGAAACCCATATAAACATCAAACTAATATAAACTTAGATGATATAGAAGAACAACTGAAACCATCATATGCCCCCGAGTCCCGACAGGTTGTAAAAAGTCAACTGGATGAGAAAAGGTTATTGAAAAGCTAATCAGCATTGAGTCTACAAGGTGTTTTTATTTCAAAAACCAACTTTAAGGATTTGCCTAGTTGTAGGTCTACATTGATCCAATAAAATGGAAAATGAAAGCAACAATTAACCAGCCATTTGTACGTAGTACTGTTTCATAAGCATACCTTAGGCTCACCGATAGATAACAAGTTCTCCTCAACCTCAGTATTCTCCATCATCAACATCGAATAGAATATTCAACTTCCTCAATCACCTGTATTTGAAATCAACCCCAAAAAAATTAAACATATGTAATTGCGAAACAACATGGAATAGTCACCAATGCTTTTAATAACATCAAGAAGCACCAAATGGATTATTACACAGAACAATTAATAATTATAAACAACAAATAAACAAAACGAATAGCACACATTTTTATTTCATCAAAAAGGGGAAGTGCAAGACCAGATTTAACCAAGGGTATAGCATATTGATCAATAAAGCTATTTAGAACCAACTATGAGGTCTCGGGTTAAAATCCCACCCGAGACAAACACCAGGTGATTCCTATCCATCTGTCCTATGGACAGAGTTACTGGTACCAATTGTTGGTAAGAGATGGCACATATCCCAATGAACAGAGCTACCTGTACCAATTGTTGGTGAGAGATGACACATATCCCATAGAATTAGTTGAGGTCATGATTATCCAGAAAAAAAAAGAATACAAGTCCAGATTTGCAAGGAGGGCATCAAATGACTAATAATTCAAACACATACAAACCATAATATCAAAGAAAACTTAAATCATTAGGGGGTTCAAACATTTCATTAATCCTACTAATCAAATTAAAGAGAATTAAATAAATTTGCAAATGAAGAAACAAAGCATTTAAAAGCAAAGCTAGGATCCATAAACATTCCCATCCACAATCTCTAACAACACAATAAAGCTAGATTCAATCAAAATTCCTTTGCAACTTCATCAATATACAACCCAAGAATCAAAAAAATATATCTATTTCTCATATGCAACAACAACAATAACATAAAACATACAAGTTTATTCATCAAAAATGGAAA